GGCGTGACATCAGTTTCTCTGTCTCGAGTTGAGTTTACAATGCGTACGTTTCAATGTGTACGTTATCCGTTCATTAGTGTACCCGCCTAGCCAAGTGTTCAGAAGGACCTTTTCATACTATTCTCTGTCAAGGGTCGAGTTTACAATGCGTACGTTTCAATGTGTACGTTATCCGTTCATTAGTGTACCCGCCTAGCCAAGTGTTCAGAAGGACCTTCTCCTTTCATACTAAGTTTCTGGTGTCTAATTTTGGATGCGCCACCCATGGCTAGAGCATGGTTGCTGTCAGCTCAAGAAGGCAGCCGATCAGTGATCCACGAGCTTCAGCCAGCAGTCAGAGGCCGTGCGAAATGTCTTTCCGCCAGCATACTCTGGCTTATACGCACAACCAAACAGGCGAACACGCCGCGCACTGTAGAAGCCAAGTGACGGAGCCACATCACATGGATTAAAAAGACAACCGAACCATTGACCCTGATTTCCCACACTATACAGTCGGCCTTTGTCTTCCATGTGAGAGTAACAGTTGCCAAAACAGCTGTGGTGAGCTTGTCTAGTCGATTTTCCCTCAGTAATACTACGTTTCCCTTCTAGGCTCCTGGTGCTCTACAGTTTTTCAGCTCTAGATGGGTCCAGTAACCTCCCACTAAATTGTGGATGATAACGGGTGTGTTCATAGTATGAGGATATTTGAGAAGTTCGATGGAGATTTGGTCCTGTAAGTAAATCCAATCTATCCTGAAAAGCCAAGTAGCACTGTACAGCTGTTTCATCCTTATTGGAAGTCATCTTCAGTGCGCATCTTACAAAACTCCAGGGAGTCCCAAAAAGGAATTTATCACCCGAGGAGTCAATCAACACATGTGACCATGTGAGGTGGATCCCGTGATTGGAGGGTGGGCCGCACTATATCCTGTTTCAGTGCGAGCTTATCATGCTGCTAATCATCCGCTCGTTTGCAGAATACTAGCCTGGATGTCCGGGTCCCAGACTCCCTGGAGTATCATGGGATATGACTGCTGATGACTCAGTAAGAACGGAACTGCTAAACAGTGTTTTTGGAGCCTTTCAGGACAGCTTGACCCCACTTACAGGACGATATCTCCATCAAAATCAAAGAGTATCTCATATTTTACGGATCAATTCTTGTTACTAAAAAGTGATGAGCTACTGAGCTTTGTTCCATTCGTGCTAGTCATTGCTAGTGGTACACATCTCCCACTGAAACCCGATTATTTGGAAGATGCGCGACTGATTTGCCTAGCATCTGTATCACCAGACAAGCTTATCTATTCATGGTGCATCCATTTTCAGTATTATTACTGTGATTCATTATCACTATCCACATGGTGCACCCACCAATGAGATCTGTGAATCGTAAGGTCTGCACCGCTGTTGACCGCCATTATGGGTGAAGATCTTAGCGAGCCTCTAGGCTTTCTAATTAGGCTGGAATCGGAAGCCCATTAGTAGAGAATGGTATTATCCTGGACAACAACGTTTTATCCTCCGTTTAACCGTCCCCCTATCTTAAAGCATCCGTCTCGGTATACAGGTCGCCTATAGTTAACAATAATTTATGAAATCCCAGGCTCTTTCATTAGGGTGCTACATGTACACAGAATAAGGAATAGTTCAATATCGTAACATGATCGCTTTTCCTTTTACCGTCAGTAATGCCTCTAGTGTACACTGAGAAATGTGATGTCTACAGCCTGGCTATTTCCTTTTGGGAATTTCTTGCACGCCGACGACCGTTTGAAGATCAAAGTCGTCCTACTTTTTGGAACCTGTTTAACCGACGGCCATCAGTACTTCGTGGTTGTCCGGAGGACTTATGGTCAATATGTGAAAGGTATTTTTTCACACCACATTTTGTTCTCTCTTATATTCATCATTTGAACTGTTCGTGCCCGACCTACGCACGAAATGGCACAAAAGTTTGAGTAGATGTTCCGGAGTTCTTTTGTATAATTACTGCGAATGTCCAGCTTTTTACACGTCCAGAATGAAAGTACGGAAAACTTCCCACTTTCGGTGAACAATCCTACACACCCAACACAACGGCTATTTCACTCTAGAATAATAATGGAACAGGGGTCGCTTCATCTAGTGCTTTATTCAAATCCGTCTGATTTACCTGACACTGTTTCTCGATGACGCGAAGCTCGTTGATTCAGCTTATAGTCATTGTGTCCTATTTTTCTATTAAATTCTGGTGCTGTCAACTATAATCATGTTTCTTAAGTTAGATATGTCTGTAGTTGTGGAATTCATGCCAAACTCTCCGATAGTAGAATGTTGGTCTTAATCAACGCGCTGATACATGCACTGTTTAATACTCTGTGAGAAAACCGCACACTTCAACTGAAACCAACATTATCAGGGTACTGAGGGCGACTAAGATAGTCCTTCAGTAATAAAAGAGGTCTTGACTTACGAGTGGCTTTCGTTAGTGACAGTTGTGGGTGAGGTGTAGGTTCCTTAATGACTACTCACAAGCATTGGCTTTCATAGATGTAACAATTCCAGAAGGCACAAAATAGGTATATCGGTCAGGTTGGTTAATCGAGCACCCGTTCACTATGAAGCCGGTAATTTATCTGCTGCGATAGAAATATGAGGAAAGCCTGTTTGAAGCATAATGTATATTTGTATATTTTTATCCATGTATATGGTATTCACACCAAGAAGTATTGAATGGGAAGTTAACATTCATCCTCGTTATACAATACACTTTTCATTGATATTACCAAAGATAAGTCTTCCTTGTGTTTTTGCAGTTCTTGCCTTTGACTTTTTGTCTATTAGCCCGATTCGCAGCTACCATCACACCAAAGTCCCTACTTGCCTTATTACGCCAAATGCTTTAGGCTGTTGTTTTGGTCCGTGCATTCACATGTCTCCCCCTCCTCCGTTTTCAGTGGTTGGGCCGAGGATCCGACATCACGTCCAACAATGATACAAATCGTTGAGTTCCTGGAATTTGTTCTTCAGAAGATATTGCTAAAGACAACAGGTACATTGGCCCCTCTCTCCCTACCGGTCTCGCTTCCTCCATGTACGAATGATTCCCCTCAAGATTCCTGGCCACCCGAATGTGATCCTTCCAACTTGCCTCTCGTAAGTCTGCAAATTATTTTCACATGATAGACTCGTAGCTAACGGTAGTGTTCTACTCTGAAGGTACTGGTCATGTATACCGGGTAATGGCAACCGTGTTGCCCTCTCAAACTAAACCGTTTCCCATATTCTGGATAAGAGCATATGCCATGGTTGAACTTCAATTCCTTCTATTGCTAGGTTGCCTTCTGCTTCAGTAAGATGCAAAAAGAGATTGTCGGCTGGTAAGCGGCATACGCTGTTGCAGATTATCCAATATCTCCAGCTGACGAATGTATGACTAATATCACCCATAATTGAGCCGACCCCACCAACTAGGACCGTTCTTCTAGCCCCGAAACTTTCATCGAAACATTATTGTACGGTTGATTCATGTAATATTTTCTTCATTCCACTGATGGTAAATCCGTGCACACTGAGCATATGTTCCTTTATCTCCTCTATGTCCTCTATGTCTGTATTTCCAAGACAAAATTATTTTATATTGTTGCCCTTGTCCACCATTCGCTTGATTTTTTCCGAAAAGATTGACGAGGAAAAATTATCGGGTTATAGTGCTTCTACTACTGTTCCTTCGAACCATCCATATCTGGGAATAACGCGGCCTACGAACTGGCTATGCTAGCGAGACTTGTACTCAGGGCAGTCTGGGTGTTGAGTTGATGGAAGCAATGCGTGGTCGCTACCTTAGAACGAATCGCCATTGTTCGCCACTTTTTTAACTGCCTTGTGGTGCTGAAGCGACGAACATGGGCTTGATATGACTACGCTATTGATGACAATTTCGATGTTCAGCGTGCACGTTTTTGAGCTTTCGATTTAGGCTATTCTGTAGAGTGCAAGTATAACCTTTGGAATGGGATAACAAATGCGCTAAACCCTCTACAATAGGCTTGAACACAAGGGCACCATCTAATTATTTCGTTTGATGGGACTAGTTGCTGCGTCAGTGTTTACTTGCCCCCAAGCGATGACAGCACAGTTGGCTAAAAATGTGCACCTGCTTCACTGATTGATGCAGTTCGTGAAAGAGGAGTGCAATCAGCACGGAGTGGGCGGAGGTGATGTAGAGTCATCCTCTTGATTTTCTCTGACTCTGAGGCTATCCGCTGTAGAGCCAGTTATGTGTTTCGTGTCCTTCTTGACTCGGTCACTCCCATCTCCGTTTTGGACAAAAATCACCTCTTTTTCGGTTGGGCCGTAACAGTCTTCAGGAGGTCGTCGAAAGAAAGAATAAGGGTACACCCGATCGTGTTGTATGAGGTTTCGAGGATGAGTGAGGAAACTATTTAGTGATCTGGGCACATACGAAGGTGGATAAACTATTGCTGATTTCGTCCGCTCTCCCACTGGAACGGATTTAATCTCTTACGATACTGTGTTTTGAATCTGTTAAGCGGATAAACAAACGTAATTGGCACTGATCAGCGACCGTCACAAAGTGTTGTGTGTCACGGATTCCACGCGCGTGTAACTGTCACTGGGTGCGTCCACTATCTTGCTCTTCTAGCAAACAGTCTTTCGTTTTAGTGAAGCTGACAAGTTAGGCGCAGTTCCCTCGTTTCCATCAACCTCATATTCTACGTGAACCCAAAGTAACCAGATCTCGATACACACACATTTGCATATCAACTGGACTTTCACGAGGGACTCAGCTGAATCACTCGTTTATGATACTCTTCAACCGAACGTGTTGTACAAGGGCCGCCTCATATTTCAGTTGGCACGATTTTCGAGATATCGCGGTGTATTTTCATAAGTTCCACAAGTTTGCTGGAAACTTTTCGACCGCCCATTAAGTAGGCACGGTCCCTGAGTTTCCGTCAACCATATGTTCTACTCGAACCCAAATTGCACGAAGTTAGTGAAATACGCCCATTTGCATACTAATTTGTTTTTGCGGGAAACTGACTTGGAACAGACGGGGAGATTCTTGGCTCAGAGTAACGATAATCCAGAACAGCAGATACCAGCCTAATTCTGGTCCCACATCAACCTTTCTTCTGCATAAAAGAAGGATGGATTGATAGGATTGGCCACACGAATTAAAATCAAGAAAGAAGTTGATTTCAGTTGTATAGCTTCTTCAGACTGGACCTGATGAAGGGATGTTTTCGTGAGATGACTGACCATGGCAGATAAAAATTGGGCGATTTTTCGGTTTTCCACACTGAAAAAAAAACTGAGTAGGCAACTCAGCAGGATATGAAGGATAGTACTGCGTAGCGTGTATGGGAAACTGATTGAGTGGTAGTTGTCCGTCTCATGTTGATTCCTTCGTCGTTGTATGGAGGTCTCTCGTCGCATCCTTGAAATACACATAGATATACGCTCCAGAGTGACTGAATGGTCTACAAACTAATTAACGTTCTGACTTCATTTTCTTGAACTTTTTAAAACAGAGTCATGCTATTTCATTTATGTCTTTGCGTGTGAGTCAAACTTTCGCACCATTATAAAAGTCTAGGTTTCCAATGTGCTACATTCTTTCCACCCTGTAGACTAGCCAACATGACTCATCGGAAGTTTGCAGACATGTTCAAGCATCTGAAAGAAAGGACACATCTTCGGACATTTCAGCCGATACGCAGCCGCAACGAGAACTGGACCCTTTGACTGTATCATGTGATTTTGAGACCGAATAAAACATCCATCTAAATTGGAGTTGAAACCTTTAACCTTGAAAACTCAAGCGATGCTCTGCTATTTTTTGGGACCGTCTCTCTTCTCAGGCATTCTTGTGGACTCGGTTGTCTTAGTGGCAAGTGCTCCTCCTCCAGAGCAACATATTGTGTCTCCTAGTACTATGCAGACTACGTGAAATTGACACCGCCAATCAATGCGTGAACGTAAAAAGGCAATAACGACTATACATCTGCACTACCTTGCCCATTTCTCTGAGTACTCACCAGAGCACAAGGGCGAAACTGGAAACACGACCCATACAACGTTCCATTACAACCTCCTCTTCCTTGAAATCCTACGTAAGGACTGATTATCCAGTCAAAAGTGCTGTACACTCTCGAGGTTACTGGGGTTACTGGGATTCTCATCACTGCAAACCAGTGGTGTACTGTTATTCTGTGTTGTTGGACGGCAGCGCTTACGTGCAAGTCGCATGTTTAATCTTCACTGACAGCCCGCCGCCGATTTAGGGCTCTTCGGGTAGGACTAATCCCCGCATTTCTTTAGTAGCTCCCCACCTTTTAGTAGTCTATTTTGCCAGCAATAGCCCATCCCCCTAGTAATTTGCTTAGTCAATACAGTTCGGCTGCTGATGACTGGCTCCAACGTTTATCTAACACAACATCGATCCTCACGCGGAGGGCTAGAAAAGTGCCAAACCATACGCTTGGAAGTCAGCAGATATTACGGTAAACTTCCGACCATATCCCCGTCCTGTATAATATCACCAGTTATTTCAATGTAAGAAGGCCTTTCGGGACTCAACTACGTTCTTACCAACTCGTCCTTTTTTTCAAGTTAGGCGACTTAAAATCAAACAAATGTGTGTGGCCCGGAAGGTTATGGGTTTGGAACTCATTGAGTTTCGTGAGATGTACACTGCTGATCATTTCCAACAAGAATGAAACAGTGCTTTTCGGCTCTTCAGTACAGACTGGCTTCACTGACAGGATGAAACCTCTATTGGATCTCTTCACATCACCGTGAATCAATGAGCAGCTTATATATATATATATACATATGTATTATATTCAAAGATGTTGTGCAAGGCGCTGTGATTGTACTAAGATGTGCTGACCTTCTTTTCAAAGTGAGGTCACTCTTTGCAACATGAGGGTCATGAAACAACTTATCAGTGTTCCGAAAGCCTTTCCAGGAGATTCATGTGGGAAAAG